CAAAAGTATGAGAATGGAATCTGATACTCTTAAAAATTTATCTTATTTCCTATGGCATTCTGGTTCCAATGAATATGAATACAATAAAAAAGTAGGGGAAAAAGTCCAAAAAGGATACATTCAATTACTAGTTTTAAATTATACAGGTATATACTTCAAAGTGCTTCAACATTTTAGGGATGACAAATGACCAGATCCAACTCTGGTACTTCAAACACACAAGTTCTGAAGGCTGAGTGTTTCTGGTGTGGCAACAGTAAAGATCTGAAAAGAGACAGTATCTAGATAGTCCTTCTCTAGGGAGTTATAAAATAATGATTAGGTGTATATTTCCTGTAACCAGCTCTAAAAGATAGCAGAGCTACCTGCATTCCCTGATTTGCCGTAGTGCTTTGCTGAGTTCGTTGTTCTTCAGGCACTCCAGCATGGACTGGATGGCTGCTTCGGTAGATGTGAAGGTCGGCTCGGCCCACGCTCCCTCTATGTAAAGAGGGTCGGCTGCAATGGCTGCAGTGGCCTCCTTCAGGTTTTTCTTGAGGTCGCTCAGTTCTCTGGACATATTTAGCAGCTGTTTAAAAAAATTTTTTTTTAAAAACTATTTAGGTGCAGGCCAGATTTTATATCCCCAAAGAAAAGAAATTTGATTATATGGGTCTGGTTAGGCACAAACTTAATATCTTGGTAAATTAAAATAGGACAGAGGCCACTGTGCTACATGAAATGTATAGGGGATTGTGGGGTTGTATTCAAATACATTGCATGTCATCACATCAATGTTGATATAGTGTATCAACAGCTGGGATCCCTCCTCCTGTAAAAGGTTAAGACATCATTGCAAATGTTTTCCATTTAAGTAGAAAGGGCACAAATGTAGAGGTAAAATGCACAAGAGACCAGGCTGAGCAGTCAGGCAGATCTGGGTTCCACTGCCTACTCTGCAGTATGCTATGGGAATAGTCAAGTGAATAGACTTGTGTGCCTCAGTTTTCTCATCTGTGACACCGAAGACATTACCCACCAGACAGGGTTCTTTTAAAGATCAAATGAAACAAAATGCTTAGTGTAGTTTGGCATGTACTTGCTCAATAAATGTAATTATGAGCATGGACCTGGTTTTAACAATAAATTTTTCTCACTGTTCTGTGCCATGGGAAAAATTTGAAGGCAAAATTTTGAGGAGGAATAATTTTAAAGTATTGTTAGTATTAATGTTACAGAGGTAAAAGATATTTTTCCTCCAAGTTACTGGAATCAAAATATGCAGTGTTAAAAGAGTAAATCAAGAGACCTGGGCCAGCCCCGCGGCTCACTCGGGAGAGTGCGGCGCTGGTAGCGCCGAGGCCACAGGTTCAGATCCTATATAGTGATGGCTGGTGCACTCACTGGCTGAGCGTGGTGTGGGCGACACCAAGCCAAGGGTTGCGAT